CCAGGCTAAGACCTTTTTATTTAAAACTTATTTTAATTGTTAATTTATTTATTTAACTAGGGTGTTTTTTTAAATTTTTAGCCGAGAATGCACTGAGGTTTTATTGCACTGGGGTTTTACTGTATTGGGGTTTTATTGTATTGTTATTTATTGATGTTTTGTGAGCCGCCCCGAGGCTTTATTGCGATGGGGCGGCATAGAAATGTTTTAAATAAATAAATAATAAAAAATAAAAAATCTTTGATATGTTAAGATATGAATGCAGATAAAGCTAATGACACAGTGCTTTTTGAGAATGTGCACAAGCGTTCTTTTTGATTGTGAACACTATACTCATCCAGAGAAATCAGGAGGTCTGTATGTACAGCAGGTTCCTGGTGGGAACAAGGTATTCCTCCTTTCAAGAAAGTACATTCTCCAAGGAGCTTAATTTCTAGCCATTTTAGATTGTGTATTCTATTTTAAATCTTTGCACTGCTGCTGGTTTTACTTTAGTGCTCACTTTCATTCATACTGCAGTTTTAACTATTTAACTTTTAAACAGTATTTAATGTTTTAAATTGTTATGAACAGCCCAGAGAGCTTTAGCTATCAGATGGTATAACACATAAATGCCATGCTTACATGAGGCTTAGTTTCCCATTCAAAAAACTGACCAAGTTTGCACCCACTTAAGTATAAGAAATGCTGCAGCAACACGCATTCCCACACCATTTTGAATAGGGCAGTCTTAATTAGATGTGTGGCAATTCTACAGAATTCAGTATTCAGTCCAAAGTGGCATCAACCTCAAAACATTTCAGTTAATCCTTTTGAAGGAGCAAAGTTCCCTCTGTCCCTGCAATAACATCAGAATCACATTACTTCACACAAAGTCACAACATTCTTGAAATATCAAAAAACTAACCCCTTCACTCTCTAGCACATCCTTGTGGTTCTTGCTGAAAAAAATGCATAAAAACTATGCATCATGATGTGGGGTTAGATTCAAAGAATCACAAGCTTAAGAAAAAAAAACTGCTAGAGTTACTGCTCCATAAATGTTTGCAAAGTGTTTTGATATGGAGATTCTATATAAGTTCTCATGATTTGATACACACAAACATTAGAACAGTTTGGATTTAGTTTAACTTTTCTCAAAGAAAAGTAGAGCAAGGCACAAGAAAGCTGTACCATCAACAGAAAGCAACCCTGTTTATATGTAATGATGGCAAATCATTTAATGCTTTGGATAATCAAGGTTTGATAGGAGGTTGATTTATCACATGCAAATCCAGTCACAATTAGTGGGTTATATAACCCATAGTTAATCTAAGAACTAATACAACCCAGCATGTGCTATTGCTACACATGAAGAGAACCAGAATCTTAAATCTAGTCAATTGACTAGTAATAGGTTCCTATCACTTAGGTAAGTAAATGGTTTGGTCTACCCCAAAGCTCTGCTAAAATGCACAATACTTAAAACATAATAATAGCACCAACAGCTCAGAAACTAACTTAAATTTTTCAAAATGCTCTTCAAAACTAATTTCAAACTGCAATTATGGCTATATATATATTGCAAATAATACAATGAATGACTGATGGGGTTGACTGAATCAGTCTGTATTTATTGTAAAATTTCTGGAAAACATTTAAATTTTAATAAACTAACTAGAGTTAATTGTGCATTGTATGGAACAAGTTCTTCCAGTATGAATTTATGGTAAGTCGTATGAAACTGGTACAGGCAATCCCCAGGTTACAAATGAATTTAATTCCAGAGAAAACAGAAATATATCTTTCATTCAAATTTGTGTATCAGTCAAATCATGTATAGTTGGCCCTCCACATTTGTGGAGGTTAGGGGCACAGGACCCCTATGAAAATGGAACAAGGGCAAATATTTCTAGCCCACTCTACTGAAACTCATCAGTGCCTCTTCTTTGCTGCAAGGAAATGCCAGAGAGATTTCCCTTTCTGGATGGGCAGGGCAGGAAGGCATGCTTCTGGAGGCCTCCCTCCCTTTCCTTTCACTTCCTCTCTCTCTATGGTGATGCTTTGGAGGCTTTCCTACTCTCCCCTTTCACTTCCTCTCTCTCTATGGTGGTGGCAATTTTCCAGTTTTTTTTCAATTAATGTATTTTATGGAAGTTTGTTCATAAGTACCGGCTCTTCATAACTCAAGCATTCATGACTTGGAGACTCCGTTTTGTTTTATGCAAACCTTGCTTTTGCAAATTAGAAGGAACAAAGCAGGGAACAAAGAACAAAATATGAAAGCAGAGAAAACACCACATGCCAAGGAAGAAATTTTTAGCCCAAGGTAATACTAAATTGAAAGCCTCTGTACACTGTCCTGGAATCATCAGCTCTAGATGGCTTGCAACTTACACTGCCAATATATACATACAAATAACTGAAGATTCCAATGTACTTTGGTGGGGTTTTAATGCAGCCTTATATTTAAGTCCTCATACCACAGGAAACCATCTTGCAACAAGGATTTCCATTCAGGGGAGTAATGCAGGCTGGCAAAGTTAGGACTGGGCACCCTATCCCTCACCTTCATGGTGCAATGCAATATATTCACTAGCCTGGTTAGAGGTTGAGCACCTGATTTCCATGGTAGTAATGTCTTAAAACAAGTAAAAATTTTATACGCTACTAAGTTTTGCAGACTTTATTTATAAGGCTGTTTTGTTATCAATATCGTCTTAATGATCTTATCAAGTTTCAGATTAACTTTGTTACGCTTTCTTGTTACCTGATACAAACCAGCACAGATAATTTATAATAATGTTCCCTTCTCTATATTTGTGCCCATGTCCTCCTTTATTCCTTACAAAGCATCCAAGCATCCCTTTGCACAAAAGTTGTCATTGTGCTTGAACCATGAGTTTTCCTCATAAAGATAAACTTCAGTAATGGCATTACTTAAAGAGTAGTTATGGCTGGGATTCATTAGTGATTTCAGTGGGTTCAGAGGTCTGCTTTTGGGAGTGGGACTGAGAAGATCTATCCCAACTCCTGCATGGCTAGAGCCACCGAAAGGTATATTCTCATATATTATTTTATTACTTTCAGTTATACTTAGTCTTCTATTAGTTTAGTCTCCAACCCCTATTTAGCAGCAGAAACCCCCCACTACTGAAATTTTGGATACTAAGAATCATGAGACTACATCTAATCTTTGCTGATTTTAGCATTCTATATTCCCCATTAATAAGAATAATTGTGTCAGGCCAACTGGAACACAACTGTGCGAGGGACATGCTGGACATCTCATTCACTTCTTCATCCTCTCTGGTCATAGTTCCGAAAGAAAGACAGGCAGGCATTCTGACTAATTTGTGCTGACTGTATTACAAGGATGAAGACAAGGGGCTGCACAATAAAATAAATCTGAGTAGATCCCTGCTTTAAAAGCTCAATGATGAAAAGCAAAAATGCACACCACCCATGTACATCTTCAACTGCCCCTAACCACTGCATTTTCAAAAGCTATATGCAACTGGAGGATTAGGTTCTCTCCCTAGAATCTAAAATTTTAATTTATCAGGCAAGAAATGCAAGCAATAACTGTACTCAGTATTTTGCAAAATGCTTATTTGCGCCTATTTTTAAACTAAACTTCTATTATTTTTGAGAATACTGCTCCTTTGAGTCACTATCCTGAGCCCCATGAGGACTTCAAAGGAAAGAGCCAAGAACTACATCCCCTGATGACAGTAATATTACTTCTTGAAACTTTCTTGTAATTTATACCCTGGAGCTTTTACTTTTCTGGTCAAACTTTCTATTTATCTCATCTGAACTTTAAAAGATGCAAAGAAAAATGTTGTAAACCTGTGAAGGAACTTGCATGTACTATAGGAATTAAAACAGCCCCCAAGACTTATCTAGTCTACATGTAATGATAAGCAGGCACTGTTACCTCATAACCCACAACTGACTCCTTTGTAGATAGGAAATGATGACGCATGACCCAAAAGTGCTAGGTTGTCAAGGCTAAATAGTGCCACAGTTAACCCATGATTTGTTGTTGGGTTAACCACAGGGTTGTTTAGCCTCTAATCAAGCCAGCAGCCCAGGTCTGCACATCATACCTTACAACATAAAAAGGAGCTAATCATGAGTTGTGTGGTGGACACAGTGCAGGTAGCACACCTGCTCACACACAATAACAAATTATTTATTAAACCAATGAGTTACATATGTGCATGCCAAAAGTTTTGCCAATAAGCAGCAAGAGAAACATAATAATGTTGTTCAGACCAGAGTTCATCTCTCACGCTTTCACTGCCCCAACTGCAATCCTTTTTAAACTGCAGAAATTTACTTAAGTGGAAAATGACATTTTCATATAATATTCTGATGCTAAACTTCAGTTGCTTGATAAAGACAGACATGAAAGAAAATTTGTTCAATTCTTTGACAAGGCCTAAAGTCTGACCTTTATTTTAAAAGGATATGCTTTAAAATAGCTTTAGAAATTAAACTGGTACATGATAAGCATTCTCCTACCATTATTCAAAAAGAATAAACTGGTTTAGACTGTGGTTGTCTGGTGCATTTTCAAGGATTTATGAGTTTCTAAATTGTTCCTTTATTTTTCAGCACCATATTCCTGATGATGAGGATCAACATTTATATTTACATACAAAAGTAAACTGCTCTGTGCAGTGCCTTCAACATGCATGCAAATGTGATTGCACTTTTTGTTCTGCAGAACTGAAAATTTGTGTTTAAAATAAAATGAAAAACTAGAACACTGCAGAAGAATACTGCCAGGAGTGGGAAGAAAGGGAGAAAAATTAACCTGCATCATTCGAGTTGGAGTTACCTGCATTTCACCACTCATTAAACAACTATCTTAACCACTGGCTTGACTTTGCTTTTTCCCCCAAGTCCCAGTTCCTGGAACTGGGTGTCCAAGTCTAAGCAACACAATTAAATCAATTAAGTCTGAAAAAGTAAACCAAAGCTGCATCAAGACAATCACATTATCCACTAACCTGCAGACGCGAGCAGGAAAATATAGTTTCTGCCAAGATCGACAGAGATATTTGGAGTGATCAATTACACGAATCCAGTCAAGCTCATCCATGGATACCTCTATATAATAGGAGTAAGACCTATGAACAGAAAACACATTTTAAAAAATTGGAATTAGCCAGGTACCAACTTCACACAATATAGTTTATGTATCCTAGTGGTTGACTAGGTAAAGATTGAACTAATAAAGTGAATTATACTTTTAGTGATAATTTTAAAATGTGTTAACTTCTAATGCGACCAAGACTGCCTTTTCCTACAGATATTTCATCACATGTACAATTCAGACTGAAATATAACTACACACTAAAAACAGTTTGAGTTTGTTTTAATGGCTACATTCACAATCTCTATAAAATGAAAATCTTCAGACATGATAGAACATTAAAGACAGACATTTAACACACCTAAGTCATAAAAAAGTAATTTGAATTCCTCTTACACAGGGTAAATTTAAAAATTAACTGCACTACTACAGCATCAGCAAGGAGGCTTAGAGAAGATTTAGCAGATATTAAACATCAGCAAACAATGAAGGGAAACAAAAAAAGCAAGCTTATTTCGTATTGCATCCTCTTTGTCTGGTTTTTCCTCAGTCACTCAAATATATTATGGCATCATATGCATCCATTAAATTTTACCAATTAAGATTTGCAACAGCTAGAGTATCCTTGTTTCCCTTACAACATCAAAGAAGAAGTTAACAGCTCATCTATGCCTTATTATAGATTACTGTTACTGTTGCAGTAATTTCCTTAGTGGAGTCACTATAAATTTGTACATAACAACATATATTTAGAAACAGTTTAAAACACAAAGTCATGGAGAAATGTATTCATACAGCTCTGCCAGGCTGAAATAAGCACTAAATTCAGACGAAGAAATCCCTTTTGTAGGAGGCCTTCACATTAATAGAAGGGAAAGGCTTTACTGAATGATAACTACTGTAGAAGTTAGTATTGAACTACAAATAGGTTCAGGTTCCAGTCCTCTCTCTGATATGAAGCTCATTGGGTAATGTTAGCCAATCACCAGCTCATGACCTAGCCTAGGCCACAGGGTTGAGGAGAATCATGTACTTTGTCTTGGACTCTTTGGAGGAAAAAAAATTAGTCAGTTTGTCAGCTAATAAGAAAGGCCTCTTTTGGCCTCTGCTTTAACTTTTGTTTCAAAAGGAAGGCCTCAGCAGTTATAGGCAGCCTATAAATAAATGTATAAATAAATATATAAAATCACAACAACTGTGATTTTAAAATCTGTTTAAAATTGATCTCTGTTATATATAGTCCAATATAGTTTCATATAACCATAACTCGAAGCAGCTTATGTACAAAAATTAAACAACAGTTAAAATGCATACATGATATAGCACTAAAATATTTAATCTTTCAACAACGTTAGAGCTAGAGAAACAATAAAAAGAGATTACAATGAAGCAGCATCTTGATGAAAAAAAGCCATGATGATTCAGGAATTAGTAGCCTCAAGCATTGATTTCTATCATGTACTCTATGTAGGGTACACCTTGTACTTGATCCAGCAGCTACAGCTTGTGCAAAATACAGAAGTGACACTGCTAGCAGGGATAATTTTTCAGCAGCTTTATGCATTTATTTAGTCATTAGATTTATATCCCACTTTTGTCTTTTTAAAGAACTTTTTCAAGAAAAACTACTGGATGCAATAAAGTACTGGTACATGCTTATAATCAGGTGTATTTAGAAGCAGTTATGAGCTCCAAGAACATCTCCGACCCATCTGAGGTCAACAGTAATATATTAGCTAAGCACTTGCAGAATAAAATCTCCACCAAGATCTAGACTTCAATTTTGCAGAGGTTGAATCTGGCAGGTTCCCAGTGCACAGCCTGGTCCAATTTTCTTGGATTAGTTACAGTTGGTTCAGCTTTAGGTTGGTTACATGGTGCTTGCAACTATATCCATATTGGGTCCTTGTCCCTGCTGGCTTATAAAAGCTAGTAGGAAAGAAACAGTGAGCTTCACCAGAAAGTGAGAGAATGTGATCCCATGCTGCCTTAAAGAGGCAGCAGTGAGGCCAAAGAAACCCTCTCTGAACCAAGAAAACCCAAATAACTTTAAGCTGAAAGCAAATTTTCCCTTCCTGGCCAATATCCTGAAATTGGGTGGTGGCAAATCAGCTCCAGACATTCATTATCTGGATCCATATCAGTCAAGGTTCAAGCTAGTTCTATACAGAAAGCTAGCGCTCTCTCAAGCTAGTTCTCTCCTATGCTAGGAGAGAGAAAGGGAGTATACCCTCATTGATCCTGATGGATCTCTCAGTAGCTTTTGATAGCATTAACCATGAACTGAATTGGGAACTGGGGCCACTGTGCTGCATGGCTTCACTCTTCCTTGGAGGATCAACTCCAGAAGGTGGTGGTTGAGAAGTGTTCAGCCTGTGGAATCTCAGGTATGGGATTCCCCTGGAGCTGGACTCATGCCCCAGACTATTTAACATCTACATGAAATTGCTGAGCAGTGTTAACCAGAGTTCTGTAATGCACTGATGACACAAGATTTATTTCTCATTTTTATCTTCAGCAGGTGAGGCTGTGGCTGTGCTGGCTGTGACTATGGTCTGGATGAAGGCTAACTGAAGCTCAGTCCAGAAAAGACTAAGATGCTGTTGACTAGATGGAGGGTGCTCAACCAGTTCTGGATGGGGTTGCACTCTCCTTAAAGGAACAGGGTCCTATCTTAACTGTACCCCTTGATCCACCTTTGTCAATTGAAGCATATGTGACCACAGTGGCCCAGAGTGCCTTCTACCAGTTTTAACTGATGCCTGGGCACCCTGATCTACATTTTCAGTAGTCTACTCCCTGGCAGTCTCTAAGCTAGTTCATTCCAGTTGCCTTATGTGGGGCTACCCTTGAGGACAATTTAGAAGTTGGTTGTACAAAATGTAATAGCCGAACTAATAACTGGGACCAGACAGTTGAAACATATCTCCAGTTCTGCTCCACTTGCAGTGACTTGCCTATGTGCTTCCAAGATTGATTCAAGGTACTGGTTTTAACCTATAGAATCCTACATGGCTGATAGAACATCTCTTCCAACTGCAGTGTATCTGGACACAATACTCTATATCTGATGTCTTCCTTCAAATGCCACCTTCATGGGAGGCTAAGTTAGCAACAAGAATGGCCATCTCTGTGGTAGCCTCCAATTATGGAATGATCTCACTGAGGCCTACCTGCTGCCAACTTTACTAACTTTTCAGAGCCAAGCCAAGACCCTCCTCTTTGCTAAGGAATTTACCAAGTCCAAATAGCACATGAGGGTGGTGGATATTTGCCAGAAGTTTTTCCTCTTTTTCTTTAGTAAGGCTAGCAAAGTGGACTAATTTAACTGTTCAACTGTTAACTGTTTAACTGCTAAAATATAGTTTTCATTTTCTGTATTTTAGTTTTATGAAGTTTCTATTATTTTTATTTTGTATTTTATTGTATTGATTAATTTCATCACCCAGATGGCTTCAGCTACTGGACAGCATAGAATTTTTGAAAATTGCTTGCTTGGTAAGTACATCTTCAATTTAGGATTGCGTTCTTAATCTAATTTTTTGAGATTACACTATTTCTGTTAAGTCTGTACTGAGCACTGTGTTTAAACCATTTAATTAGTTTCAACTCCAATTTTCAGCTTGTGATCCTTCATACCAATTAACTAGGAGCAATTTCAAAGCCAATTGTATATGAAATGTCACATATGGTACATAAAGAGGTAAATGACAATTCCAGCATTGTTGCCCTGCAAGTATAAACAGATCCAGTACAAAGGAACACTGTCATTCAAAACCAAAACTAAAGCTCTTTTATCTAGTCCTAACATTTAGCATTCTGAGAAAAGGGCTAAATTGGCAAAATAAATGTGATTTACCTGCTATCACGATCCCATAGCAGTATTCGTACATGATTGATTATAGATGGCTGACCCAATTTAATTTCAATACCAGAACGGCAATCATCATCAATGGGATGTCGGGAAAATCCATGATCCAAATCATAGTTCTGTGTATCTCCATCTAGCAAAGCAGATTTCAATTCCCCTTTAACTACTTGGGCTCCATATTTCATAGTTGCAATGTTTTCACCCGGTACTGGAAAAAACAGGGATAATTTTTTTAAAAACCTGTTCCAACACACACAAAAAAAAACCCCAGATAATTTCATAAAGTATCTTCTTCCAAGATGAGATGTCCTCTGACTAGAATTACAAATTACAAAAAGATGAAGCAAAATTTATTTATTTTTCAAACAAATAATAAACACAATGAAACAGGCACTAACACTGACAAAATCCATTTATTTATCTATTATATTTATATCCCACCCTTTTTCTTTTTTTAAAGAACTCAGTGCTGCTTATATCATACTCTTCCTCCTCTCTAAAAGAGACAAAACTGAGTGAAAACAGAGCCAGTGTGGTGTAGTGGTTAAGAACAGGAGATCTGAGTTCTAATTCCCACTCTGCCTTGGAGCTCACTGGGTGACTTTGAGCCAGTCACATACACTTGACTCAAGGTATCTCACAAGGGTGTTGTTGTGAGGATAAGATTGAGAGGAAGAGAATTACGTAAGCTTCCTTGAGTTTCTTGAAAGGAAGAAAGACAGAATATAAATGTAATAAAATCAATAGAATGGAACCAAGTCAAGACTATAACAAACTGCATTGATCTCAATCAGATTAATTCATTACTACCTTTTCCTAGACAGTGACCATACTGTTCAAAAAGATTTTTATTACGTATTAATTTTGCATTCATATAAAGGTGAATATCCTAATTCCTAGCAAATCAATATCATCAAATTCATAGTTTAAAAAACTACATCAAGAGTACAACTGCAAATTTTCAGCTTCCTGAAGACACCTATCACAGCTGAAGGATGTATAGAAGATAGCACTACCTCCTAAACAGTCTAAATTGTAGAAAAGTTGAGGATGGGATCATTTTAAAACATTAACAACAACAGTGAATAGTATCCAATAGATCTACAAGGAGAAGGCCTCTCCTTCCTGGGCCCCTGAAAAACCATTCCTGTAAAGTCAGGGGACCTTCTTAAAAGCATGGACTGTGCCACTAGGTGCTACAATGAACGTTCACACAATGCTCCCTCCCTCCTGTGACACCCCCTATACTATCCAGACATTTCCCCCAGAAAGGCAAAGAAAACATGATTAGTTTCAACAATGGCCTTCTGCTCATCAGCTTCTGAATATAATCCAGTGAGCATAAGCATTTTGCTGTTCAATCAATTTGCTGGAAACAAATGCATTGCATAGGAAGCTTTATCTGATGTCCAAGAGTTAGAATTATGAAACATGGACAGCTATAAAGGCCAAATTTTTCTGTTAGTAAACATTAAAAGTTTTCCTATAATTAAGTTTTAACTGGCTGACATAGAAAGCCCATGCAAGTTGGAAATATTGTGGCTTACTTAACATGCCCCTATAGTTAAGGTCCATGTCACGACTTTCCGATCGAATTTTAATAGCATCTAAAATGGCATCAGGAGATAGCAATCCAGAAGGCCGTACAACATTTAACAGTTCTGTCAAGCTCATCAATGGCAAGCGCACTGCCTGCATAATTTGAGTGTGGTTTTCCTTAGGGTTGTGTTTACACCAGTTCATCAAGGCTTGGAAAATATCCTTTTCAGGAGCTGCAAATGAATCCCTCAGTACAATGCTGAGAAGAGCTGGCTGAAAAGCAAGAGAGAATAGTTTATGTAATTATGTCACACTTTTAAATTAAAACAGTGAATTATAAACAATATATCAATCAGCACCTCAATATATACTGCTGAATTCTTATTGAACTAAGTAAATTCTACTTTACAGTAAAGTTCATTATATGCAATGTTTTGGTCTACATACTTACAAGGGCAATGTTGAACACGTATATGTAAAAATGTAACGCCAATATTTTTATACTTCCTACAAAAATCTGTTTTGGCAATAGGTCTAACTCTCAAGTTAATCCAAATTTAACTGAATGCTCACCATTCTTTACTCACATCTGATAAATACCTTCTATAGTATAATGCAACTTCATAGACAAAGTTAATTGCCTATGAGCAACTGTTAATTCTGAACCATAAATAAAGCAAAACTTATCAGTGCTAAACTAGTTGTTATACAAAATTTCAAAAGGTTTGGCTTACTCTATGTCATAGAGTCTATGAATACAAATGCTTACTTAGACAGCAGCACAAACAGTCTTTTGTGTCTTTTTGACACACTGAGCAACAGCAGCATGAAGCCTAGTTTACATCTGAGTTGCATTAAAGAATCTGTGTCTAACAAAAAAATTTAAAACCTGAATTACATCGTCTTCAAAATGTTATTTTTGTCAATTGCCTACTTGGGTCACATGTTAAAGAATGTCACTTGAATGTAAAACCATACTTATCGCTATGTTAAGATACTAACCTACATGGTATTAATGTCTCTTTCCTGTCCTCTTCTAATTTTTGATAAGAGACTGATTTTATAGTGACAAGTTTTCTGATTTATTGCTTTTGATATATATTTTTTTTTCTGGGTGGTATCCAACCAACCATTCCCACTAACTGAACAGCTTCCATTACTGGAATGAGGAGACACAGCCCTGCAGAGCAGAATTTGGAGATGCATGGAGGCTGCAGAGGGGAGTGGAAGTGAAGCAGAGTTCTGTCATGCAAATGGAAGTCTGCTTGCACAACGCTGGATTTATTTTTGCACCCTCCCTCCCTTTTCTAATTAGTGAGGTCAGACATCATTAAAAATTAAAATACAATTCAAGTGAGCAAAGTGTTCATCAGTAGCCAACTGCTGATCAGAAACTTTAATTTTCCATGGAGACAGTTGTGTCCATTATAAAATGCCAAGACAAAAACACTCTGCCACATCCATTATAAATTTCTGTGACAAAAAAGCCCTCCTACAGCTTAAGCCGTTGCATGCCTCAAAAGTTCCATTTTCAACAGAAAGGTAGCTTGCTTCCAGGCCACAAGAGCAGACTAATTTGTTCTTCCCTTCCTAGAATCATCATCAATTAATTCTAGAGAGAGATATTAGCTGCTCAGAATAACAGTCAAGACTGTTTTATCAGGAAACGTCCCAATTAACATATTCCTATTAAGAAACCAAGAAAATTACAGAACGCACAAAGTGTTCATCTCGCATTTAGAAAAAAATACAAGGATAGGTGAAGTTGTTGGAAATGTGAACTTTTTTATTATTTTTAACTGTACAGCCTTTTATAAATGTATGTTCAGAATTAGGTCCCACTGTGTCTAATTGGATTTTTCTCTCAGTATAGAATTGCAACCTAACCTCCTTTCTGCCACTCATTGGAAACTGAAACCTAGATTTGCAGCCTGTGAAAATCTTTTTCACTGCATCCTACTGAATAACATGTCTACCGACAGGTATTTTCAAGGATAAATAGTGATACAGATGGAATCTATGAACAGGTGGGCAGGGACATTTATTATGGAGAGCTTTGACTGGGGTTGTGTGTGCATGCATGTGTTCACATGGGCATGTGTGTGCCATGTTTAACACCATATTTTATCTGCCTCGCTTTTCAAAGCAGATGAGACATAACTTCAGTGAAAATAGCAAAATTTACCATACGAAGTAAAGGTTTATACCAAGAATTATAAAGAGCTATATATTTAGCAAAAACATGCAGTTCCAAAATGATATGGCAGCAAAGACTTTTAACTGAATGAGGATCATGGAAGATACCTACAAACAGTAATATGAATGGCAGCTACAGTAGTTAAGACATAAACCTAAATGTTACAGCATCTGTACTATTTATTTTAAACACTTTTTTACTGCCTTTTCAGGGAACACACCCTCGGAAGACATTTAACTCTGTCCTCCTGAAGGCACTGTCCTCATATTTTCAACAGTTTTGTGGAGGAGAGAAGGTGTATTTAGGGTAAAGGAAGATGAGGGAGGATGATACAGAACTGCAGCTGCAGAAACAACAGTAATGATGGTCCTATGGAAAGAAATATGGTCAGTATTGAAATATCTTTGGATGGGAAAATATCCTAGCACTCTCATAGTAGTGAGGGAGAATAGAGGCAATCCACAGGAAAAAGAAAGTACAACCTGTCTAGAAACCATGTGTACTCCAACTGAAGGCTCAAAAAGGAAGACATTTTGGTACAACTACAGCTTCCTTCGCTCTGAATCTTGGCACTTTCCCAAGAATCATCTCAGACATATGAAAAATGGGAATGTAGTCACACAATGCACAGAAATTGTACTCCATTAATACTATGGGTTTTTCAGATCCTATTTTCGTATTTCTAACAACTTCCACATAATACTCAAAGTTTGTTTGTTTGTTTTTTAAACTGAAAGTTAAAACTGACACTCACCTTAGAAAGTGACAGAAAGCCTTCACTGGAAAGCACCTCTTGAGCATTCCTATCCATAAACATATAGCACATACATGTCAACTTGGGAAGCTGATAGAGACTAGCAACATCATAGGTCATGCAAACATTCTGAATGTTTAGGATCGTGCAAAGATACTCAGAGGTGGAATCCTCCAGTTCTGGAAATCCATATTTATGTGCCAAACTCAAGAAGTCTAGTAAGACCTCCTCCTTCTCATCTCTTAATGTTGCACGACCTGTGTAAATATATTTTAACAACATTGTAAAGGCCTCTGCAGTCGTGTCCTGGAGAGGGATCTCTGCTTCTGGTTGAGATTCACGCATTCCACCATATAACAATGCTCTGTACAAATACAGATAGAAAGAAATTATGAGAAAAGGTATTTTCTAATAATAAGAGATGTCACAAGCATTGGAGGAGATTGAATGCCATCAGCACAAATGTCCAGAATGTCAACTAACAATGACATTTCTATAGTTATGAAAAAATTGTAGGTTATCCTTATGATTCAAAAATAATAACCAGTGCTTTTTTTGTTAAAAAAAAAGGGGGGGGTGCCGGAACTCACGTCCCTGCTGGCAGTAAGCACACACACCAATCCCAAGCCGAGCAGCATCCCAAGCAGCTCTCTCTATCAGATAGCAGATAGCAGACACAATAGCAGCCTGCAGGCACTATGTTAATGATGTTTGCTGCTAATCTGCTATGCTGTTCAAAATCACTTTGTAAAATCCATTGAAAAAAAGGTGCCGGAACGCTGTTTCGGTGCGTTCTATGACAAAAAAAGCCCTGATCATAACCTTTCACTTGAATATGAGGACTTGTTTACTAGATATTAAGACAAGTGTCCAAGTGTTCATCTAGCAATTACTTATGTTTTGGAACCAGTTATACAAAATGAAGGAAGCTAATTAGTTTAATAAACAGGTATGGAGCATTTGCTTGAGAAATGACACATTTGATAAAACCCTGGTTAACATCCAAAATCACAGAGGCAGGAATTTGTGAAAGCTAAATTCCCCAACCCTCTTTCCTATCCCCACTGAAAATGTCATACAGAGGGTTGGGGGACTCTTCTAGGATTGGGTATGTAGAACTGCGAACGAAAGGAGGATTCTTGAAAACTGAGTGGAGATATCTACCATGAACAAGAATTCTATCCCACTACATATGCCTCCACTTGGCTCCTCAATGCCATCCTTGCCATATCCCAGTCATTACTGTAATTTTTTAAGGCCACAGTCAAAAACTGTAAGTAATTACATCTATCAAAAAGAAGCATACATTAATTTAATATTAAAATTAGTCTTTTAATTTGCTTCTTTGAATGATTCTACTACTACACTTTTGGCTAGGGAGAGAAAGAGCCCCCTTTCGTAATTGCATGAATAACTATATAATTGCATTAGGTAAATAAGGCATAGATTAAAAGTGAAATCTCATGCCATTCTACATAAGTTACTCATTTTGAATCAAAACAACTCATACTAACACTTTACCACTAACTCAAATTAGCATTATCCCTGGGAATAAGCATGTACTAGTATATGAACATCCTGAATTTTCATCCTTCTGGAAGCTAACACATTAATTTGGGATGCCTATGAAATGAAGGACAAAAGAAAATGGCATAACACAGGTGCCTTCTCAGTTAAAAAAAATCATGCCATAATCGGTATTCAGAAAGCTCACATGCATTGAACAGATGACACTAGTTTGTTTATCTTGCTTACCTCGATGTTCTAATCATATCTGATAAGTAATACTTTACCTGAAATACTGGCACCTTGCTGCCAGAATCACTCTGTGTGCAGGAAAACGTTTCTTTTCTACTATAAACGTGACATCACTGTATTCCTCTGCATTCATCAGAACACCAACATGATCAGACAGAATATGAACATGGTCAATTTCACCTACTGCTGTGTAAGGACGGAGTGGGTGACTGTTGCTCATCTTGTAGGAGAATCGCTTATCCTACACCTATTAAAATAATAATATTAAAGAGGTACTCAATTCTAAAATTATTTGAAAGTATTGTATTTTCATCAAATGTTACGAAAGTTACTTTGCTAGAAGGTTCCAATGTAATAACAGCAAATGTCAGAACCCAACACTGCCAATCTAATTGCTACAAATAAACAAGCCCTTATAAAACAAATTAGAAGAAACAAAATCATTAAATCATAGTTTCTACACAGTCAGCTAACTCACTAATTATAATACTCTGTACAAGTTAAAATTGATTCTGCTACAAGGGCAGATCAATTAAAAACTATATAGCAGTGCTCAAATTAAATATTGAAATCTACACCAAGAGTTTTCATCCATAATTAGCTAGAATATAAGTATTTATGACCTATTCTCATAGGAACCTGATTAATTCTCCAAAACTGAGATCACAGTAATTTTCAATTATTCATATTGGAAACCTTTTCAACAAATCATGTTTTATAAAGCCAGAGATACTAATAAGTCCTTGAAAAGCTCTACTGGGAAAGTATCTATGCCCAGTGTGCTTTCAGACCGAAGAGGTTTTTATGAAAATATAAACTTTATGTTCTGTACTCGTAAAGCCTGTAAGACCTCTCAAGGGAAGATACAGCATTTGCAAAACATATGCTTTGGCCACTTTGCTCTGTTCATGCTATATGCTGCATAATTTGAAGTCATGTTTTTAAACTCCCATTTTGGAGAACATAAAAGTGTTGTGCATATTTAAATAAAATATATACCTTCCTATGAGGTCTTCTCCTGTAATTAAGAAAACCATAGAATATTCATGTGATTATTTCACACAAAGCAACAGATAGTTTGGCAGTCTTTAATCTACATTCATCTGCATTGTTCATGTGACAGTACAAAATAAACACAGGAATTTTAACAAATTACAGATACTGGTTGAAATCACTTTAGCCACTGTGCTTACACAAGTCCTATGCTCAGGTGTACACAGAAGCCAAAACAGAAAAGGGAACTTTTAAAACATTGGGTAAAATCAAATTTTCAGGAAAAAATGCCATATGTTTTTGGGTCCAACATCCCAAGACATTTTTGGAGCTTCAAGAGCTACTGGAAATCATAAGATTCTTTGTCTCTCTTTTGATAGTTGTGCTTTTACCTGGAGATTATCTTTATCTACTTCTCATCTCAATAGGACTGAAGAGCCAACAGATCTTCATGTGGCATGCTGGTTTACCCTGAAAAACCAACTACAGCAATTTACAATACTGGCATTTTACTAAGAGGTCATATATACAAGAGATGTACCAATAGCTTAAGAGGAGTAGGAAACTGCCTGTGATAATTCACATCTTACATCACCTCCAGGTCAGACTATTATCAAGTGCTTTACACTGGATTGACTTTGGAGATTCCCAAGAACTCTAACTGGTTCAGAATGACACCACAGAACATTAGGATGAACCACAGCAAACTTATCATGCCAATCCTGAAAAAGCTTCACTGGCCTCCAGTTGGTTCCAGGGCCCAATTCAACAGCCTGTAATTGGGCCTGGGAATCAACGAGGCCAATATTGTATAACTCACAGACTATCTTCCCCCTATTTTATCTATCTGTACGTTAGATTGGTTCACAGAGCCCTTTACAATAGTGGCACCAGTTCTGTAGAAACCATGAAAAGATCACTGCATGAATCATTTCATGCCTTTAGATACCAAGTGTGGAGTACGATTTTTTGTTCTTTGCCCTGTTGGGGTTTTTTTTTGGGGGGGGGGTTGCTTTAAGAGACTGTTTTCATTTAGTCCTTTCTTGACTGAGGTTTTTTTCTTTGAATGCTAGATTTTAAGCTTTCAAGTCACTTCTTAAAGGTTCAAAGGACAAGATACAAAGCATAATAAATAAATCAAGAGCCAATCTAGTACAGAGGATGCAATGCTGCACCTGGGCCAAACAGGTTTTATTTACTATTACATTTATATCTCACCTTATTTCCAAGCAACTCAGAGAACCAGTGTAGTGTTTAAGAGTACAGGCCTAGGACAGGGGAGTTCCAAGTCCTAGTTGCAACTTAGCCACGCAGCTCACTGGGTGGTTTTGGGCCAGTCACAGACTCTTAGCCCAACCTACCACACAGGCTGCGAGGATAAGCTTGAGAGGAGAATTATGTAAGCCACCCTGAATTCATTAAAGGGAAAAACAGTGAGCCATGACAGACAGACAGACAGACAGACAGACAGCTCAAGGCAGCACCCATGATTGTTTGTTTGTTCTTGCTTGCTTTCAAGCGTTTTTATCCCATCCTTTACAAGAGCCTCAGGACAGTGATACAAAACAAAGAGGCAACATACAATAAAATATAGATCTGATAAAACTCAATATTAAAATCTCAATCAAATCTTAAAATACCAGGAAAATAAAAAGGTTTTGACGTGATGACAAAATGAATAAAGTATCAGAGCCAGGTGTACCTCTCTAGGGAGCATGTTCCAAAGCTGGGGCGCCACTACAAAAACGGCCCTTCTCCAGGTAGCCACTCTTCTGATTTCCTTCAAAGAGGGTTCCTGAAGAAGGACCTCCAACCCGGATCTTAGAGGGCAGGCAGATTTATAAAGAAGGAGATGTTCCTTCAGATACCCAAGCCCTAAACCATTTAGGGCTTTATAGATCATCATTAACACCTTAAACTGGGCCCGGACTTCAATTATTAGCCAGTGCAGACAGTAAAGGACCAGTGTTATGAGCACATATCTATCAATCCCTGTCAAAAGCCTGACTGCTTTGTTCTGGACCCAGAAGTATCCAAACTGTCTTCAACGGCAGCCCCACATACTGAGCATTACAAAACTCCAATAAGAGGTTACCAGCACATGGGTCACTGTTGCTAGGCTCTGCTCATCCAAGGACATAGCTGATAGACCAGATGAAGCTGGTGGAAAGCACTCCTTGCCACAAAAGTCACCTGGAACTCCAAGGATAACTCTGGGTTGAGGAACACTCCCAAACTACAAACCTTACTCCCTTAGGGGGAGTGCAACTTCATCCAGAATAGGGTGAAAATCACATCCTGGAAAGCTAAGCTGCCCACCAACAGAACCTCCATCTTATCTCGATTAAGACTCAATGTATTGGTCCTCAACCGTCATCATACTGGTCAGACACTAGTTAAGGACAGCCGCTGCCTCACCTAGATTAGATGTAAAAGAGAGGTAGAGCTGGGTGTCATCAGTGTACTGATGACTCCTCAGCCCAAACCTCTGAATGACCTCCCCAGTGGCTTCATGTAAACGTTAAACAGCATAGGGGATAGAATGGAACCCTGCAGAACTCCATAACTGCCATGGCACAGAGGGGTCAGACTAGATGGCCTAGGAGACCCCTTCTGACTCACTCTGTTTCTGTTCCTATGTTGTGAGATAGCTTAGGAAGTGTGGCCTAGTTCACACCTAAAGTTAACACGTTTTATTTAACCCATGGTTTGTTGCCTTACAAGGGTTTATCTGGCAATCAATGGAAAAACTATGGTTTGTTTGCTTAATCTCTAGATTGTTTGTTTTCCTCTCTGTATCCCAATTCCTTTGTGACATTGTACTGGCATATAACAGAGGTGGCCAAACCAAGGCTCAGGTGTCAGGTGAGTTTATTTCATTGCTTGCTCTTATGGGTGTCCACTTGTAGCTCTCAAATAACTGACATTGACCATACATGGTTCTTCCATAGAGCAAGTCTGCTACCCCTGTCTTATTTGTTTGTTTGTTTGTTTGTATGCCACCCAATTTTGCCACAGCACCTCTGGGCAGCTCACAATCACAAGATAAAACACAATAAAGTCAACAACATGTTAAAATACATTATCAATAAAATATGGACAAAAATACCAAATAAAAGGTTGAGTGGCATTAACTTTTTTTTTTTTTTTTAAAGCAAGGTCTTCGCCTGGCACTGAAAAGAATATAAGGTAGGGGCCAGGCGAATCTCCTTAGGGACAGCATTCCAAATATGGGGAGCAGCTGCAGAAAAAGCCCTCCTGCTAGCAGCCATCTATCTCACCTCCCTAAAAGATGGCTCACACAGGAGGGCCCCTTTGCATAGATCTCAAAGGCTGGGTAGGCCTATATGGGTGCAGGCACTCACCATATAACCAGGGCTGAAGCTGTTTAGGGCTTCATATGTCAACACAAGCACCTTGAATTGGGCCAGGGCCACAACTGGTAACCAATGTAGTTCTTTCAGTATAGGTGTTATGTGGGCCGCTCCCAAGCAGCTCTGTTCTGTACCAATTGTAATTGTCGGACCGTCTTCAAGGGCAGCCCCATGTACACTGCATTGCAGTAATCTATTTTGGATGTTATCAGTGCATGGGTGACTGTTTTCAGGCTGTGTCTGTTCAGGGAGGACGAAGCTGGTATATTCTCCACAGCTGGAGGAAAGCACCCCTGGTCACCAAGTACACCTGATATTCCAGGGACAAACCCAGGTCCAGGAGCACCCACAGACTATGGACCCTGTCCTTTAGGGGGAGTGCGACCCCATCAAGGACAGGATAATATCCCCCCAACCTGTCAGATGACTCCCCTACTAGCAGCACCTCCATCTTCAGTTTATTGACCCTCATCCAGTCCATTATCAAGCTCAGGACAGTGACCACCTCACCTGGATGACATGTAAAAGAGAGGTAGAGCTAAATATCATCAGCATACAGCTGAGTCCTCAGCCCACACCTCCAGATGACCTCTCCCACTTCATACAGATGTTGAAGAGTGTAGGGGACAGCACTGAGACCTGCAGAGTAACTGTTCCCCCAGCACTACCTTCTGGAATCCACCAGCCAGGTAGGAGTTGGACCACCGCAGAGTGGTACCCCCAACCCTAACCTTGGCCAACCTGTCCAGATGGACACCATGGCTGATGGTGTGGAAGGTCGCTGAGAGGTTAAGGAGAACCAACAGGGTCTCACTCCCACTGTCCCACTCACCTCCTACTCAGGTCATCAGACAGGGCTCTGTCCCAAACCCAGGCCTAAAGCCCGATTGAAATGGATCCAGATAATTCGTTTCATCCAAGAGTGCCACCACCTGCTCCAACATCGTGCACAAAAAGGCATATAAGGTGGATGGGTTTTTTCCCTTCTCCTGCCTCTGCAGTCTGGCAAAATGTTCTGTGAAGAACCCATGATTCTGGATTCAAGTGTATTGACAGTTCATGGTTTAAACAATAATCCTGGAGTTCGTGGAGTTTTCATATTTTCCTCATTGTTTTTCCTTACTCAAAAATTTTGTCCAAAACTGAAACTAATAACTGGACCACTGCATAGGTACATGTATGTGCTGACAAGGTCCTCCCTCTTTTATTCTCCAGCAGACCCAGATGACATTTTAGCTTTTTTTTTAAAAAAAATAAAACTTTTAACAGATTACAGAACAGTATAAAGCAAAGTAGCATTCTTTTTGAAATCTGGGAGAAGCATCCGGCCCTGTGAAGAGCTGAATCCAAACTAAAACATACCCTTCTCCCCTCCTTTTCAGAAAAGATTCTAAAAGGGGTAGCTCTTGCTTGAGGGCTAGATTGAGTCAATCTCCACTCACCCAGTTCTGAAATGTCTCCCTCTTTTTCCAAGGCAGCCTGTGCTGTGACTGGCCATTTTCACTAGGTAAAGTTGAAATTGCAAAATCATCTGCCCATCTCTATCTGAGCAGACTGTAACATGCAAGAACTGCCCCCACCCCCGTCTCTACCTGTCCCTATTTCTCCAGCTTCACCAATATTTTGTGTGCCTGACCATCATATTTAGCTAACCCATGTTCAGTACCAGCCGTTTATTACTTTAAAGTTGTTTTCGCTTAACTTGCGAAGAAATTAATCTCGGTAGGTCTTTTGTCCGTACTGTATTCCACTTTGAACTAATACAGCAATACTCAAATCATGTCCCTGTATGTGTTGCGATTCTTCTGTTAAACCATAGTTCACATTTAGTAATACTATATATATTTTGGAGGTCAGTCCCTTTATTACATTATTATTTTGAGTAATACTTTTTTCACCTGGGGGTAAAAGGGATGCACTCTTGTGTCTTCACTCTCGAATTTACTATAAAGTACACTACTTAGTATATCTGAATCCAGTTTATTTTACTTTTTCTGCTATTTGCTGACCTTGTTTTGGGAATTAAGTCAGTGTATACATTTAGTAATTTATATAACTTCCTCTTCCCAGGACTACTAGTGCTTTCATTTGTCCTGATTCTAAAATAGAAAATGTCACAAAAGTGATGGCTCTGAAGGCAGTTTTTTGCACCATTTCCTTCCTGTGTTCATTCCTGTGTTCTGAAATGAGTTGTAATTAAGTTGGTTTCCCCCACTCATCTGCTCCGAATTGTTCCCTCCAATTCTGAAATTATTTCCAGACTGTTTCCAGTGTTTCTTTTGTTACGGTTTGAAATTTATATAAATTTTAGACATTAAAATAGCCTTACCTTTTCTTGAAGCTTGAGCCTATTCACTATTTGATTGTATAGCAATTTTTATTTTAGATTAATTATATTTACATTTGCATACATATTTGATAGCTTTATTACTAGCCAGAACAACAGATGTTCTTTTTGTTCTCTCCGCTGTACTTAGATTTTTTAAAACTTTTAACCATTGCAAATTCTGCCTTTTTTACACATTCCAAAAATATAAAATATTAATTATTCCATTTTAGGTTTTGCAAACATAAGCACTCTATCATCTGTGAACAAGTTCATTATGATTTTCTGACCAT